CCACACATAGAATTTCTGTTAACGCATACAGCCTGCCCTTCCTCAGCATAGAGTGACTAGGCTAGATGACTACTTACCTGTCTCACAGCAAACTTGCCGAGTCCATGAGAAAATCCCCAGCACCTCTGCGAGGCTGGAGGGTCGTTCCGATAGTCTTGAATTTCTGGCTGTGATGTGCCAGTTTAGGGTACAGCCCTGAAGGCCACTAGATTCACCCAAAACCGTATTTGCAGACACAGTCATCAGATAGTTGAGCCTGGCAGATGAGCAGGTAGTCTCAGTCATGGGGATGCTTTCTTGTGTTCTGGTCTTATATTTTTTTAATGAGAGACTTATTGAGTACTTGTAGTGAGCTGGGAATACAGAGATAGTGGCATTCACAGGGTGATGAGGGATACAGGGCCTTGCAACTTTGCATGAGACCCAGAACTCTCGAGATACATATATGAAGCCCTGTGGGATAGAGGGGTGTGGCTCGTCATGGGCACGGGAGCAATTTGTCAGGTGAGGTGGGTGAAGAATGAATGTTACAGTGATTCGTGAGCTGTTTCCCCTTCCAGTGACCTCAAAACACCAAGGGCACGCCAGGGTTTCTCCAGCTGGCTCTTCAAGAGGGAGCTGTGGCGTTCCGGCTAAAGACTGGGTGTCAGTCATCAGCACGTAGCTTCCCACTGCGATTCAAGTGCAATGAAAGGGTCCAGAAAATAACCACACCTGCAAAGGCTTGTGACTCGGGAAAGCTGGGCTCTGAGTCCAATATTCACAGTACACACGATTCGTGACAAAATAAATTAGTAAAGAGTCTCAAGGACAAATATTTTATAAATACCGTTTTATTACTTGGAAATACATAGAAAAATTAACACAGCTAAAAACAGTGGCCAAGCAGAGGTCCCATCCAACCTGTTTGAATGAACACATGAAACAATTACAATCAGCATAAAACAACTTATTTAAGTCCTGAAATAAGTCTTCAGGAACTTTACGTACTGAATTTGAAAGGGTTTTAAAATGGAAATTGTTTTTTGTTCTTTACACCTGTTCAAATCTTCACCCCAAATACAGGTGTTTTAGTTGGGTTCCCAAGAGGTTTTACTTCAGAAAAACAGCTAAAGCTATTAACTGTAATTACGTCCCAAACCAAATTCACTGCCATCAAGTCGATTCCGACTCATAGTGACCCCATTGGGATTCTGAGGCAGTTAATCTTTACGGAATTAGACTCCCCCATCTTCCTTCCAAGGAGTGGGTTTGAACCTTCTGGTCAGCAGTTGGATGGCTTAGGCACTACGCCACCAGTGCTCCTTATAATTAGGTACAGAACTGGAAAGCGGTTTGCCCATTTCCGGACTCTCACCTTCCCTGTGGTTTCTCAAAACTCCCCAGCCACTGCGGACAGAAAGCACGTGCCCCTCAGGCAGCTCTGTGGGATGAAGTCTGGGCCCAAGTCTTCCACTCACTTACGGTGGCAAGATTTCTTCTCATTGTCTGCAGTTCTGTTTATGCCAGTCTTTGTCCAGTTGGGCTTTATGTCCGTGTCAGAGAACATGAAACACTGAGCCCTGCTGCGCTTCCTGCCAGTCCACACCGCGTCAGCCATGTTGCTTGCCCTCTCAGGTTAACCAAGAAACCACCCCACGAAACCAAGCCTTTCTGGCCATCTTAGCACTTTCTGCAAGTTTCAGCTCACCCTGGATTTCACATTTCAAACATGGTCTTTCGTCCCACGTTCCTCGTCTTGGCCAGTTTTCCTTCTTTTGCCTCTGACCTTTGACCCTGCCTGCGTCAGTGGGTGCTCCAAGCAGCTGTGCCTCGGGCTTTGGATGCCCAGTCTCTAGCTTCCCGTCCGGGTTCATTTGACTTTTAAACAACTTCATTCACAACTTTATCTAAAGTGAGTTTCCATCCTTTCCTGGCCCCTTTGGCACTGGCACAGTTTTTTACAATCTGGAAAAGGCAGCGAGGGCTGAGCAGCAGGAAGGCCTGTTCCTGGGTTTGATTTTGCAACTCAACTGTGTTCTCCAGCCTCCTCTCAAAGCCCTCTTCTCTGCCGAGGAGCCAGAGGCCCAGGATAGGCTAGGTAGCTGGAGGAGGCCACCTGTAATTCTCTGCCTGACGCATGGTTTCCATGTTTCAGAGGGGACAGGTCTAAATTTAAGCTGGTTAGTTGCTGCCGTTTTTAGCTGCTGTCCATTGCAATTTTGTGTGCAGACTTTGTGTACAGAGTGGAACTGCTCCACAGGGTTTTCAAGGCTGTGATGTTTTGGTAGCAGATAGCCAGGGTCGGTCTTTCAAAGTGCTTCTAGGTGGGTTAGAACCACCAACCCTTTGGCTAGTAGTCGAGCAGTTAACTGTGGCACTGGGTTATTATTGAGTTAAAGCAGGCATCTTGAATTTTTCTTCCAATGTTCTATGTACACACTCCCCTGCCTAAAACCTACTGGTGGATGTGTACTATCTACAGATCCCCTCGCTGGGCGTACAGGCCCTACACGATCAGGCCCCAGTTCTTTCTCCAACCTCTTCTGGATTTCCTAGCTCCAGGCCTGTCTGCCATGCAGTAGCCCTACTGTGAGCGCTGTTTGCTGTTTCATACCTTTGCTCGGATTGTTTCTTCCCCAAAGCAGCACCTATCCATCTTCAGAAAGCTCCGCATGGCATCTCAGTGCTCTCTGGGACTGACTGCTCCTTTGTCCTATTAACCTCCTCATTCTTTGATCCTGACATCAAAGTACTCATCATACTCGTTTGTTTACGATCTGCTTCCCACCTAGGCTGTAAGCAACTCTAGGTAGGAGCTGCTTTTACTTATCTCTGCATCCTTTATCATATACTACGGCACCATCCGATCCTAGGTGCTCAATGCCTGGGTCCAGACAATGACGACAGCCCTTCAAATCCCTCAACACTGCGTTCAGACCTGAGGCTTCTCCAAGCAAAACCATGCTGACACCAGGCTTCAGAGCCCCTTATTATCCTCGTTGCCTTTGCACGGAATCCATTCGAGCTTGTTAATGACATTTTATAGAAAGGAGCAAGTCCTGCTCCTGAGGAGCCGAGTCCATCAGGGGCACAAGAATTCCCCGAGCTCACGGTGCTCCTTGTTCATTCAATACACATTCCATGGCGACAAAGTGCCCAGAAATGCTAGGCAATGGTGATGTGGACAGTAAATGCAGTATCTTTGCCCTCACTGCTCCACAGTCTAAGGCAACAGCCTCAGTGCCCACATGCATGAAGCCTAATAATGCATTCCTCAAATCCATTCCATATGTTCAAACAGCCATTCAGTTATCTCAAGTCACACTATGTGCTTCTTGCGGCTTTTTTTTTTTTTTTTAAATAAGAATTACTCCCCAAACCAGGTCAGTACCTGTTATTTATTTATTTATACCCAATCACAGGATTGCAAGTTTATTCCGGGTAATTGCGTGTGCTGCTTTTGCTGTGGGCCAGCTTGTTCAGTGTTTGTGAATTTTCATTCTGGAGCCCTGATTTGCTCCATTCTCTGACGTGAAGATTTCTGTTTTCAATCCTATTAAAGCAACGACAAGAACAAGACGAAACAGCAACCTTTTGGGACCCCCGTTCTGCTTTTCCAGCTCAGAGTCTGGTAACATATGTCAACCAGGCCGCTACTGTGTCACTGGCAACAGTTATTTTTCTGAACCAGACTATGGATAACTCATGCATAATTAAGAATTCTAGGCTGAGTTTTTAAAAGCATCAATCATTGAACATCCACTATAAACACTCATTTTATTGTCAAAGGACTGGCAGGTGTTACAGACATTGCAACTACACATAATGGCACGTGTCAGCCTTTTAAGCATAAAAACTATCTTTCCCCGAACTGGGATTGACTTACACCCCACATATAAAATGACTCATGACCTATAGCACCAACCCAGGCCCAGAGGAAAGTCCATTTTGAACCCGTCTATCCTCTGGCATTGGGTTTCCTGATATAACTCAGAGGGTCCGCCCCCTAGTTTTTCTCCTGGCAATATTGAGGCCTGGCACAGGGACCCATCTGACTGTACAACGCAGGCCTGGCAAGTCAGGGGTCCAGAAGGCGTGGGGCCTCTGGCAATTTTACAATGGAAAAAAAGATGAAAAGCTTATGATCCTTACTGGTTTGGATCGACACAGCTATAACCAGACTCTAAAGACAGAAAGAGGTTAGAAATGCTGGAATCCATTTTTCTCTGCTGGTTTTACCTCTTTGGAAATTGAAGGCTCATGATCTGGAGGAGCCTTAAGAGTCATCAGTTTAACACTGGCCACCAGTCCCAGATTCAGGTAAAGTTCATTCCAGGTTTTAAACGCCATCCATATGCCACTTTTCAGACAAACACAGAGAAATATAGTAACACTTTCCTTTTTCTTAATTCATAAGGACAGTTTCTGCCAATGTTTCGGCTCGTGGCTCCCTCCTCTTCATAGTATGTTTAAGCTACACATTAAGAGTCCAAAAAATACGACCATGGAATTTCCATAAGCAATATCCAACCAATCAGTAAAACACAGCACATGGTGTGAAAATTATAATTTATTCCCCTCCCAAGTATCCAGAATATATACCCCTCAGCTGAGAACTGTGACACTGAAAATACCAACAGAAGTGACCACGGGCTAGGAAAGGGAAGCACGAGCCACACGGGAGCCCCCAAGGGTCCCCCCAGCCGCACGGCGCACGTGGACAGCAGGGCTCCGCACGGTGCACCGCCCGCCTGACTCGTGAAGGCTTTACAGGACAGACTTAAAAGACAGGCCTCTGGTTTTTATTCTGTTTTTTTAACCCAAGCAGATTCTAAAAAGAGGCTATTATTAAATGACAATGCATTTTGAGTCGGGGGGAGAAAAAAAATAAAAACCCAAAACTTCTTTCAGTTTATTCAAAATAAAAATACAGAGACTTATGAAAATATAGGTTTACTATTTCCACCACGTAAGTTGATGCTCCTGTTGGAAGGGCCTGCAAGCTGTTTTCCAAGAGTTCAGAGCTCATCCCGATCCCTCAGTAAGGTGTACCTGTACTCGCTGGGGGCCAGCTTCTGGAAGGAGCTCTCAGGTGGGCTGCTCGCTACGTCGTGGGCTTCCTACAAACAGAAGAACAGAACGTTTCCACCTCAGAACATTTTATGGAGTTTAGTATTTTAACCAGAGTATTGGATGAATAGTACCTGTCCTATAAGTTTCTGATTCATCAAGAAAAGACAAAGTTAGCCAAAGACAATAGTTAGCTTTAAAATCTTGCTTTCCTCATTTTAAATACCTCTATTCAGATTCTCCAGGGCATGGTTACCATGGAGACATTGGACACATTAACTATGGACCAGCTGATGCTTGCTGAGGTGGTCTGTTGACACCTGGGGGCTTTCCTAGAATATTTTTTAGGGGCAGCACAACCCTAAGTTGTCCTAAACCCTGCTGACTTATAAATGATTACTATGAGAATCTAAGGAACTCTGGTGGCATAATGGGTAAGGCATTTGGCTGCTAACCAGAAGGCTGGCGGTTCAAACCCACCAGCTGCTCTGCAGGAGGAAGATGAGGCAATCTACTTCCGTAAAGATTTACAGCCTTTGAAACCCTACGGGGGTCACTGTGGACTGAATCACCCTGATCGCCATGGGTCATAGGTCACTCAGTTGGTACAGCTCTTACTTATCAATTACCTGGATGCTAGAAATTATTAAAACTCAGTTGAAATAAGAAGGAAAACAAATATTTCTATATTGCAAGAGATTAATTTCAATAGTATTTCACTTGTTCACCAAAAGTAGACAATACACAGTGAACGACTTCCAAGAATTTCACGCAAAAACAGCAGTCTATCTCCATTGACACTGTAGCACAAGGACCCACATGACTGTTGTTTTAACATCCCCTGGAGCTGGCAAGAGCAGCCCGTTCATATAGTACATACTCTATGTAATGACAAGGAGTTCTGGTGGTGTGGTGCCTAAGGCACTTGACTGCTAACCAAAAGGTGGGTGGTTCAAGCCCACCAGTCACTCCACAGAAAGAAGAGTGGGTAATCTACTTCTGTAAAGATTTACTGCCTTAGAAACCCAAAGCGAGTTGCTATAAGTCAGAATCAACTCGATGGCAGTGAGTTTGGTTTTTTGGGTTTTACGCAATGATGGACTTCCACGGTAATGGGAGCCCTGAGATGTTTCCTCTCCCTAAAACATGCATGTATTTTTGATGAGATAGATGCTTGGATTAGTTAAGCTGAAACTGCACAACCAAAAAAACAAACATGTACTTGGTATCTACTGTGTACTGGTACACAAAGATAGAAAAATAAAACCTAAGAAGTTTACGGTCTAATGGGTCAATTGAAACAAATAATGGTAACTCAATAATGATAGAGTGCTTGTCTTAATATGGTAAAATACTATGTGGGCATTCTTTTCTGAGGAAAGTAATCACCTTTGGGTTTTACCAACAAAAAGTCTGCCTGTTTCTATAGCCGCTTAATTATCAAAGAACAGGCGACCTCAGCTTCAAAGGGAAAAACACTGCATCCGATCCCTCAAGGAACTCTCGCCTTGGAACCTAATTTGACTCTAAAATAAGGTGTAGAAAAACAACACTGCGTTTTTATTTTTCTTTTCCAAATGGAGGCTCTTTGGGCCACGGAGTTGGCCTAAGTCCAGGCTCTGTGGCCCAGGAGGATTGTGGGTGAGTGACTGTCTCAGTCAGCAGCCGAGCTCTGAGCTGTTCGTGCCGCCCAAGCTCAGGGGGCTTTAGTGAGCCAGGAACACAGAGGTTACTTGTGATGGAAATTAGAAGGTGGGAAGAGGGAAATTCTGAAAACAAAAGAGCAGAGAGGCCATTTGATACACTGCAGTTAGCGACTCTAAATCCCACGTGGGAAGCCATGCGAAGCGGAGTTTTGAGCGCTGTGAACACCATCTTGGCGAGGGCCTTGCGGCGGGAAAGCAGAAACAGCAAGCCACGACGTTCTTTGGTGTGGTCAGTCATCTAGCTGCAGGGCAGGCCTGGACCGTTCTCGGAGTCTGTTGATTTCTGCAACGATCATCTGCTTTCAATGCCTACTTCCTACTGCTAGTTGAAGCTAACTGTAGTTAACCCTTTCATAACCACATTCCAAAGAGGTCACACTCAGAGTACCTTAGTTTCTATGATCGAAAAACATTTCCAAAGGTCTAAACTTTTTAATGTGAATGAAAAGGCAGTGTAATTTGTGGCTATTTTCTCTTCCAGAGTCTGTTCAGAATTTCTCTACGAGACACTCAGGAGCAAAAACGCATGCCGATGCAAGAGCTTCGATCTCTGAAGTTAACTGAGAAGGAAGAAGTTCCCAGCGAAAACCAGACAGAATCCTACCTGTCCGGGGGCGGTGTCAGTTGGGTCAGGCCCATGATGGAATTCTCTGTGCAGTTTTCCAGAATGTAAGTCGAAGATGAACTGCTTGAGTTTTCCAGGAACTCTAAAACCAAATGTCAAAAGCAAATTAAGTTTAAAACTGTTAAAATGGACTTCCTGCTATTTTAACTTGACAAGATTTTTCTTTTTAAATTTTACCTACAACCCTCCTATAACTATTATGGGCCAGGCATATGTGGAAGTTTCACACAGTTCTAATCACAACATCTAGACTCCCTGTTGTATGTTGTTTCCTGCACGTGTTTCATAGAGACCTGTCCACACTGATCCTTTAGACAGATGAGTCACAGTGATCAACACGCTGCACCCACACCTGCTTACCCATCCCCTAGTGTTGGGCACTGGCATGCTTCCCTTAACTTCAGACATATAACTAAAAGACCTTCAGTTCTATCAAATCAGATTAAAGATAACAGGGTTCGAGGGAAAAACAGTGTCAGGGGCCGACCACTAAAATCTAAGCAGCTTTGTAACTGCTTACAGACGAGCACTACTGAGACTTATTACACACCCTCCCCAACATACGAGCAAAGGCATGTTCAAGTCCTACCTCCTGGTCCCTAAGAACGTGACCTTCTCTGGAAACAGATGGTAATAGTTGACATGAGGTCACAGTGCAGCAGGGTGGGCCCTAACCCAGTATGACCAATGTCCTCATGTAAAGAGACACAGACACACAGACATGAGGATGGAGGCAGAGTGGGTACATGCCACCGCAGCCCTGGACTGAGACCAGCAGAAGCTACAAGAGGCAAGAAAGGATGACCCCTCCTTCAGAGCCTTCAGAGAGATGGCCCTGCTGGCACCTGAATTTGCAACTTCGAGCCTCCAGAACTGGGAAAGAAGAAATTCCTGTTGTTTTGAACCACAGTTGGTGGTTTCCTAGCAGCCCTAAGAAACTAACTGTAATAACAAAAATAGTCTCCACTGGCCTTGAACCCCGTGTTGGTCAGATGAAGATGATGCCTTAATCGGGACCTCGTGGTCCTCCTTTGAGATGCAGGTCCTTGATGGTACTCATGGCCAGAAAAGAACCCATGCAATCTTGAACTGTCATGGAGCCTTTCCTATTTTTTTTTTTTTTAAACCCAAGAGGAAATGTCTTCAGAGCCTCTTCCAAGCACATAAACACCTTCACTGGACCGTTTCTTAGCACTGTGAAAAGCTATTTCTCAAGACTGTAAAACGAGTTTTTATTTCTTTATTTATGCTAAAGAAAGGCAAGGTTTTCAAGGTTTGGGTTTTTTTCTGAGGTCTTTATACGCCTCTAAGGCAATGTCTTTAATTGTGAAAAAGTTGACCCTGATGGCTTCAAAATAATCCACGGAAAATGGCATATGAACAAATAAAGCTTCCACTTTCTGTTGACACCATTCTCTCATCACACCTGAACTAATCTGTGGAACGGAGACAGGCTCTACAGCAGCCAAACACACCGCTCTGAGAGGAAGAAACTAGAGATCGGGCCTTCTCCCTGTGTATCTCCTGAGCAGGACCCAGCAAAGTGCAGTTACCTGGGACAAACGTGGGCAAATGAGACATATGAAACTCCAGTCACCATCTCTGCACCTGTGTCCGCTCTTCCCAGTCCTGCCAGTACGCTGCTCATCTTTTTATTGTTAGAGCTGATTTTGCTAATCTGATAAGACACGTGTGTTCTCATTTCCCTTTCTCCAGAAATTAAGCACCTTGTCCACTGTGTTTCAATGTATGTTCCGCTCACAGGAACAGTGTCTTCTATAGAGACCTGGCTTGTCTTTTTCCCCCTTAAATTTTTTTGAATAGAAACCCTTTGTTTTTCATTATCTGTTACAAGAAATGGAACACAGGTCCACAGCACCTTGATTCCTGAGGGGGAGCTGACTTTAAATCACTATTTTTTCGTAGCAAAGAACAGCTGGCCTGTGTTGGCACGACCAGCTTCTCTGGCTTCTCCTCCCCCCAAAAGTCCTCTGAGTGCTGCCTCTTGCCTTCAATGACCCCCATGGAGATGCACTAACCAATAACTGCACAGTATACCCATCCTGGCTCCCCACGGGCTCCAATGCAACAGAGACCAGCAGGTGCCAAACACACAGTTTACAAATACAAATGGCTGTCAGGGAGCTGTATCGACAGAATGCCTCGGGAAGGTTCTCTGGGGCCGGGTAATTGCACATGCACCGGAGAGAACACCGGAGGAGATCAATTTAGATTTAATCTGACATCATCTACTGTCACCCGCAGCCAAGTGCTCAAATACATCCATTCGATCCATAGAATCGCAAATGGTCTATATAATGTTTCAGACAAAGGCCCTGTTCGTTTGTTTTGTAAGGGTCCAAGGAGCCAAAATGTGGTCTGCCTCTTCTACTCAGGGGACAACTGATGAGTGGCTCAGTCTTCAGTGAGACAAACTCAGAGAGCATGCGCAGGACCAATTTTCCCTAACTTGATTTTTTTTTCCCCTCAACAAGAAAAGAGAGAGAGTTATGAGCAAAAGGCGAAGGAAAGGGAGGAAGGATGACTCTGATGACGTGGCAGCAGGAAAGCAGGCCGCCAGGAGCTCCTGGCTACTTGGTGGCCAGCAGGAAGCGACAACCAGTAGTCAACAGGAAGTTGTCAAGAAAACAGACAACATGGGTATCGGCTATAAGGAAAAATAAATAGATTCTTACCATAATGTAATTATTTTTTTACACCTCAGGGTACAATTTTTCTAATTAGAACACCTAAGTATTTCTCTGCCATGCTCCAAACCCCCTTTCTTGCTTATTTTACAATTCTTTTTAGATGAAGCAAAACTTAGACACAGTGAAATGCACAAATGTTCCATGCACTCTTAGATGAGCTCTGACAAATGTGCACGAGTAATATTAAAATTGTGCACAAGTAGTATTAAAATTTTCTTAGAATTCACCTTTTTAGGGTTACACGTCCATGAATTTTAACACGTGCAGCATCTTGTACCAACTCTACAAACAAGATACGGAACAACTCCGACACTCCAGAGACCTTCCCCGGGCCGGCCCTTCACAGTCAGACCTTCCTTTTCCCCCTTAAGCCTGGTAGCCACTGAGTTGTTCTCAGTCCTGTCAGTTTGCCTTTTCCAGAATGTCACATCCATGGAATCACACAGCATGTAACACTGACTGGCTTCTTCCACTTAGCACACCCCACGTGAGAGCCATCCATTTGTTTTCGTGTATGAAAAAGTTCATTCCTTTTTATTGCTGACAGTATTCCACGGTGTGGATATATCATAACTAGTTTATATATTCACCTAGTTTTTTGTTTTTTTGTGTGGGTTCTTTACAGATCTTGGTGATTATGAATAATGCTGCTGTCGACCTTGGTGTACAGGTTTTTGTGTGAGCCAGTTTGATAGCTGAAGGCCAAATAATGGGTCACGTGGTGAGTGTTTAACTTTTTATCAGCCTGACCTAGCGGCTGTCATCTTCTGCAACCTCAGCAGCCAAGTGTGAGTGTTCCGGCTGCTGCACATCTCATGAACACGTGGGGCTGTCGGTGTTTTAACGGAACTACTGCAAACCATACTGCCTCTCACCGCGTGCCTCTGAGAACCAGCGACGCCAAGCGTCCTCCTACATGCCGGCCACATTGCTTCTCTATAATCTAAGGATACTTTTCAAAGAACAGGTTTTTTATATGGATGAAGGCCTACTTCTCAGTTTTCTCTCTTACAGACAGTGCTTTCAGTGTTCTCCCCAAGAACCCTGTGTCCAACCCCAGGTCATGAAGAGTCTCTCCTATGTCTGCTTTAGCAGTTTTAAAGTTTCACTGTTACATTTAGGTCTATGATTAATTGTGACTTAATTTTTCATATGGCATGAGGGTCAGGAAGAAGTCTGTCTTCTGTATATGGATGTTCAGTTGGTCTATCACCATTTGTTGAGACATTAAATTGCCATTGCAATTTAAAAAAATCAACTGACCATATCTGTTGTCTGTCTCTAGTTCCACGGGGCTCTGTTCCTATTTCTTCACCAGTATGATCCAGTTTAAATTTACACCCTCTCCCCAGTTATTGACTGGTCAGGTCCCAAAAACCAGGTCATTATGCGTAAATCCGCAAAAGTGGAGGATGACCACAGCAGACCACAAAATGGAAGATAATGACATCATTACATACCTGCCAAGTCACATCATTACATAACTGACAAACAACTGAAAATCATGGCCCAGCCAAGCTGACACATAATCGTAACCATCACAGCCAGCATCACTCTTGCCTTCCACTTCAGCATTTGTTACTACCACATATGCTGTTCATGTGCAAAAGAGTGGAATAGATTTTTTTTAGAATTGTCATAAATGTAAAATGCTGGATAACGAGATAGTAAGTGAGGAGGGGTGTTACTCTGGCCTTATCAACCAAAAGCCAAGCCCACTGCTGTCAAGCTAATTCTGACTCACGGTGCCCTGAGAGGACTGAGTAGAACTGCCCCATAGAGTTTCTAGGACTGTAAATCTTACTTAAACAAACTGCAGTATCTTTCTCGTGGGGAGAAGCTGGCGGCCCTTTTGGTTAGCAGCCGAGTGCTTTAACATCTTAAATCAGGTACTATGAGTCTTCTGAGTGCTTCTTTTTCGAACCTGTTTTGGCTGTTCTAGTTCCTTTATTTTCCGCATCAACTTTAGGATTAGCTTGTCAACAGCCACAGCAAGCCCAGTGGGATTCTGCTTAGGACTGCCTCCAACCTACAGATCAGTCTGACAAGAATCGAGGTCTTAATGTTACTGAGTCTCCTAATCCATGAACACAGTGTGTCTCTCCATAGGTCATTTTAGGTTTCTTTCCTTAGCATTTTGTGGTTTTAGCATACAGGTTTTGAACATATTTTGTTAAGATTTTAGTTTTTTCTTGAGCTGTTTTAAATACTTTAATTTTTTTTTTGTTTACACATTTAAGCAGAAATACTAAAGTCGCCATTATGTACATTCACTGGGGATTTCTACATAATCATGTCATCGATAAAGAGACAGGTTTACTTTTTCCTTGATAGTCTAAATGGCTTTTATTAATTCTTATTATCTTAGTTT